GTTCACCCGGTTTAATTTTTTTGGTTGCCCAGCATACAAAACGGCGTCGTTTGGGTTCAAAAACGCAGAAAAAACTCTTTCTTCCTCCCTTGTTCAACCCGGTCTTGAGCCCCTTGGTCCTCCTCCCCCATTTCTGAAAATCAAAATCCTCTCCCCCCCCCAAAATCGCCGAGATCTCTTCCCCTTTCTCCCTATCCCAGCCTCTTGCCTTGAACCCCAGCAATCCATAGCATCACCTCGTCATGCCACCGTTCTGTTCACTCATCACTGATTGTGGCACTCCCTCCTCCTTGGCTTCATTTGCTGCTCACATTGCTTTGCCTTCACCGTTCTGCTTCGCCTTCGCCGTTCACCTTCGTAGCTCACGTCGCAAGTCCCGAGTCTCCATAGTCCATCCTCTACTCGCTGACATCCTGCTTCACCTTCGCCGTTCACGGACGTCCTGCTTCACCTTCGATTCAGGCATTGAGTTGTAGCTTTGTGGGTAAGCTCAACACCTTTACTTGTTAGCTGGGTTGTTTTTTTAAGGTCGAAGAGCTACTTCTCTCTGGACTGTTATGAGATTTGAGAAGGGAGGAGAGTGTTATTGCTGAAAAAATCAAATAGATCAAGATTGTTGTTGCTGAAATAAATCAAGAGTTGTCGCTGAAATAAGTCAAATAATATAGCTATTGTTGCATTACACAATTCTCGAGTTCATGTTCGGGATGATGATCCAGGACTAGTCGGCCACAACCCTTTTCTATAAATTTTAATTTTAAATGCCATAATAATATGGTTGGTTTGATATAACTTGGGTTTTCATCTTTGAAGTTTCTGATAGTGTTTTTGGTTCATCTAGTTTCATAAGATTTTGATTGAGTTAACATGACACAGTAAACGAAACTTTTGATTTTGATCATTTTTCTTGACTTGATCTTTTAGATTAATTTTGTACAGAGGAGAAGGTACCGTACTGCATCATAATTTTGATTATGTTGTTCCACCTTAATGTTATGAATTAAATTTTATTATTTTAATATAACCGGTCCGACCTCGGTTCAACCACGGTCCGACCAGTGACCCTTGACCCACTGTCTCGACCGGTTTAGTTCCCGGTCTGGTTTTTTGTTCCTTGCTCGAGACACATGTATTGGATCGGAAGAAAGGTTCAATTCATTTTCAAATGGACAAATTTGGCCCAAATCGGTTTGAAATGAAATTATTGCGATTTAATTAAATTTGTTGATTTGAATAATATGTTGTTATATAATCTCGCTCGCTCTCTGTCTATTTTTTCCCAACCAAATACACTTATCCCCATTACAATTAATGCAATTAATGTGAAGGTGTTATATGAAGTATCATAAGTAAAATATGCACATGGCTTGTCCTTGGACTCTTGATTTTTATTTCAGAATTGTGGTTTGTTTTTTTGTTTCTAAAACAAGCGTAATAACCCAAAGAAACAAACTACAACACAGGAATTTTAGAAATATATCATATTAAAGTCGAAGAATGATAGATGTCGTACTTTTAGAATATACATACAATACGTATATACATATATCTTCAGTTGCAATGCGCGCGCGCACACACACACACACTTACAAGGCAGTCGTGGAAATGGAGACGAATGAGGCTGGCGCCTATATGAGGATCAGATTGAGAGAGCCTGCTGCACTGCATTAGTGACAATGGAAGAGGCGTTGGGGGCAAGAGGTGGAATAGAAAGTAGAGGTGAGCTGAGCATTTGATGATGTGGGGTAGTAAAAGGTGAGAGCTGTGAAGATGGAGGCTGCAATAAGGGATGAGTATAACAAGGAGTAGAAGAAAACATGGTCATAACAACATGAACGAGTAAACAATTGTAAACAATTATAACATAATGGATATTATATTTCAATCCAGATACTAATGATAATAGGGATCAATTCAATGGTCCCCTTAATTACGTCTCCTTTTTTTTAAAAAGACTTTTGTTCCACATATAATTCTTTGTTAGTTAATTTTACTTTATATGCTTATAAAAATTGTATTTTTTAGTCTTAGCATATATACGTGGGTAATAAGGGCTTTTATTACTGATTGAGAAATTGGGGGGGGGGGGTCCTTAGTTTTCAACACTTATATACGAAGCTAATCCTAGCTAGTTGATGGCAGTCTAGAATAAATTATTCTTCTCATAAAGTCACCAAAAAAGAAAAAATTAACAAAACAATTGCATTTTAATTTGATAAAAAAATTAATTTTAATTTCTTTTTAGTTCTTGAAACCTGATATAATTACTTTTATTGATAAAAAAAACGATATTAAAATTTGAAATGCCGTCAAAATAGTTTAAAATGTTGACATATCTAGTTTTTTTTCTTCAAAATAACAAAATTTGGCACAAAATCAGTATTCAAAACTGGCTGTTAGAGGTGAAGAACAGGAAAAGTATTTTATAACGTCAAGAAACCAGCATTGTGTTTTACCAAAGTAAGAATAAAGATCAAATGAGATATGGGTGGATGCGTGTAATAGTACTCATCTGATTTTAAATATAAGACTTATTTTATAGTATAATATTTAAAATCAGAAGAGTGATATGTAGCCGTATTAGTAAATTTGAGTTGTGTAATGGACAAAATTAGGCATGAAGGACATAATTAAAAATGCAAAGAAGATTAAGAAAGGAATAAAGAACCCGTCTTGGCAATCTACTTGCTCTTGTTTCCGGTGGGTGTGTGAGGACCGAAGACTAAAGCCCGCGGTCCACAAGCGAGGCTTCCACAATTTTAGGCGTTGTGTTGATGGTCTCGGGTTTTAACTACAACTGAATTGAACGAGTGAAGATGGATGGGGGGTTTTGTCTCTTGCAACCAAAGCCTTCAAATTAATGCAGTTGACTGTCTTGTCTGCCTAACTAATTATTACTACTTTGCCTAATTCGCACGAACCTTGCCAGCACCTCCCTACTCCCTGGCTATTTTTATGTATCCTTTGCATTACGTTCACTCCTTCCAGCTGTTCTGCAAATCAATCTCTTTAAAATCATCTACAAAACAGATTAAAATCATTACATATACACCTAAATTTGTAAATAATTGATGAAATATATATGCACACGAAAATTAATAGTCAAAATCCAAATAACATAATAGAGCTCCAATGCTATAATATATTTAATTATAGCTTTATTAATATCGGTATAAACAATTTTAAGCTGCAATTGTTTCGAGAGGGAGTGAATACTTGGAATATTTGTGTCCGTGGGCCTGTCCCAGCATCTTCCCTATGAAGGTTCGACTATTTAATATTGCAATTATTCAGATACGCTCTGAGTCACACAGAGGTGGTGTTGACTATTGCATTGCGTTTAGATGAGTACGTAGACTTCTCTATAGTCTATATGTTTACCTTTTCTTCACGTGGGCCAGCTATGTCATTTCCTCCAAATTAATGTCGGTGATTAACGCCACAAATCCGCCGCTTTGCCTACTAGATAAACTACAAAAATTTTACATTTTCCAACGAAACGAATGGAATTAAGAAAAAAAAATCTAGATGTTTTCAAGAGAAAAACATGAGAAGTACTCTCTCTGCTTCTAGTAGAAGTTTTAAATTTGAAGTGGGGTATAATCTATTTTATAAGTTTTAATTTGGATTTGTCTAAATATTTAATGTATTTATTTTAATCTTGTACCAGCGTTTCATCTCCAGTTTTGTAATAGTGATGGGGTAACTTCTTCTGGTGAATCCATCATTATTATTATTGGAGCTCACTTGTTTACAAAATTACCTAGCTATATAAACTTTTTAGGGATTCACTTAATCTATCTATCCATATATATATATATATATATATATATATGACGATTTACGATTTCGCTAGCTGTTCCAACAAGCTTGAGAAGTTGTCATTGAGGAGAATTTAAAAGAGACAACAATTGATGCACCAAACTTGCTCACATTTGACTATTTTAGAAGTTTGCAAACTTATCGGATGCAAATCTCAACAACTAAAAGCAATAGTGTCAGCATCAAGTTACCAAAATGCAACATGGATCTGCAATTATGGTTTGGTAAAATTATGGAGTTTCACGCTTGCTTTCATCACATCAAAGACCTCACTATTACTTGCTTCCAAGCAAAGATACGTTATTTTTCGGTTTGCCATGAGTGTTTAAGAATTATCGCCAAAATCTGTTTGAAAAAATGTGAAAAAATTCATCTTTTGCTTCAGTTTTCATGGCTTTGTGCAACTAAGTCCTTTTAGTTTTAACTCGATTAAAATTCTATTTGTAAAGTGAAAGTTGGAGTAATTCAATCCTTGCAGTTTTAATCTTTAAAATGTTGGCTTCTACATTTTAGAAAATATAATTATAAAGACTAAAGTTATGTTTTAAAATTTAGGGACTAATATCTTATGTGATTAGATTATAAGTATTGAGTTGCATCGGGTTAAAATTCAGAGACTGAGTCTCACCTAGGTTCAAACTATAAGGATCAAGTTGAATTGGGTTGACCTTTAGAGATTAAGTCATTGTTAAAGCAAAATTATACCAAATGATTAATTTTCTAAAAAATATGGTTTTTAAGTCTATGAACTTGAAGGGGGGAAAATTCAGACAAGTCTTTTGGTGAGTCTTTATATAATACTCCCTCCATTCCTTATTATAAAAGACAAATAACCAAGTTACGTTGTTCAAAAAAACAATTAAAATTAGTTGAGGACAATTAATGTGTAAAAAGTATAATGTTTTTTCCAATAATGCCCCCATTAATAAGGAGAGAGAGTATGAGAGATAACAATTAAATTATTAAAAGAAAGAGAAGTGGGAGGGAGGGAGAATATGAGTTGGAGACAAAATAAATAAGGGTAAAATAGAAAATCAATACAAAAAAATAGAGACAATTTTTAAGTGTCTCTTATATATGGGAACATGCCATAAGCATCAAATGTCTCTTATAATAAGGAACGGAGGGAGTATATGTATATTTGCCTTATTTTGGTTGACCTTTTATAGATCGATTGCGAAGGTGAACCATTAGTCCATTACACACAGATATATGGAGTCTCAATGTTTCCCACAAAAAAGGCAAACTAGTTTAGGTATAAATTAACAAGCTGATGAAGTTGTCGGCACGCAATCAGAAATAGTGTTTGTGCATACAGATTGGTCAAGACCATGATGCACGTTAAGCAACTAATCATATCCTCACTTTTAGCTTCCATTGACTTTTCTGCAGTTGGATCTGATTTCTCCCTGGCTTCCCGTTAATGGGCTAATATTACCCATATTTATCATTGACTGAGCAAACGCTTGGAAGAAGGCTGTTTGGTTGTTGGCAAAATTGTTAACAATGGACACTGTAGAAGACCCATTTGTTGAAAACAACTCTTGGTCTGATTGCAGAAGCCCCCGATTCATCAGAAGATTCTTGTAGTAGTTGTTATCAAACGTGTTTGGGGACGAAGGGTCAAGGTTGTTCAGAGTAGACCCGTTTCCATTTTGTGGACAGTTTTGCTGCAGAGTTGCAAGGTAGGTCGTGTTCAGTGTCGGATCGGGGTTGCCACTTCCATTAAAGTTGAACAGTCGGTTGCTGAAGAATCGACATTGGGCACGACCAAAAGTATGTGCACCTTCGCATCATAAAAGGAATCAAATTAATGAATCAACAAGTTGGCATGAACATATAAGATTAGGAAATGAATGAATTGATGATAATACCAGATAGCGCAACCACATCATTTGTGTTTAAACCAACGGCAGAGAACTTGTTTGTGATGTTGGCGAGGCTTTCGACTGGGCTGGGAATAGCTGTATTGGCACCAGCTTGGTTGGCCGTCAGACCGTCCCTTCTTCCAAGTAGAACAGTCCATGAAGGACCTCCTGACTGCAAATATATAATGTAACATTCACGTTTTTATGATTTAGGAGGCAGACTAATAATTTGTGAGAAAGAAACATGTACATATGAAACAGAGACAGTAAATTTATGTACCAAAGACACAGAAGCTTCAGCCGCAAGAGCAAGAATATCAGCACAAGAAACAACACCAGGGCATGAATTTTCTAGAGCGCTCTTGATGTTGTCAACAACTCCAAATCCCCTGGCGGAATTGTTGTTGGGCGCTGCATTTTTCTCGCTCAGTGTAATGTTGCCACCCACGTCCAACAAAATGGACCCGTCGCATCCCTAACCATGATAAAGCCACATGCATTATTTTATCAGTTATATATAAGCACACAGACACACACACACGTATATATATATGCATAATCATGTCACGAGTTATTTCGAAAAGTTGAAATACGGGGATATATAAATAGACAGATATAGATACATTTACAAAGCAGTCGTGGAAATGGAGACGAATGAGGCTGGCTCCTATACGAGGATCAGATTGGAGAGCCTGCTGAACTGCATTAGTGACAATGGAAGAGGCGTTGGGGCAAGATGTGGAATAGAAAGTGGAGGTGAGCTGAGCATTTGATGATGTGGGGTAGTAAAAGGTGAGAGCTATGAAGATGGAAGCTAGCAATAAGGGATGAGTATGACATGAAGTAGAAGAAAACATGGTCGCTAAATGGTAAAGGAGTGCTGAATATTTGTTTTTCTAACGCTATGGGTTTAGCAGTGCTTCATATTTATATATCTGGGCGGCACGCATGTGGACAAAGCAAAGCGCGTTCTACCTGTCTTGTCAACTTTTTAGTGGTTTGTTTAAAGGTGTATTATATTCTTCATTTGCTTATTTACGAAGAAAGCTGTATAGATTCTGCTTGTAAAATGTATATTAGGTACGCAACATTTAAGAAAGACCAATGAATTTTCAAACCAGAGGGATCGTAATTAACTGAACATGCTTGTGCTGCAAGATTTAGAGATTATAAATGTTAGTCAGATCAATAGCTGTAGACACCTAAAAATTAATCACATCCAGGAACTAATTGGATCCCAATAACATGATTAGGAGTAGAGAATGTTAAAAAGTCAGATTCATTGTGAAGACTTGTCACGCTGCGAATATAAAAAATACTAGCATAAACCTTATCGTTGCATTTTAAACTATAGCCAATGGATATTATATTTAAATCCAAATATATATCTTAGTGAGAATAGGGATCAATACAGATAACAGAAGAATCACTTAATTCGACTTTTATTCGGAATTTCCAGACCAAAAAAAATTGTACTGCTAAGTCAGATATTCAAAATGCATATGACATAGGGTGAACAAAAAATGTTCATACATGAAATTTACCATGCCATAGATATATGGGAAAGTGACAAATAAAGACCCCCGAATTACCAAAATTACACAAAGGTCACCTGAATAAGCAAAACTACTATGAAGGACCCAGTTTCATATTGTAAATATGAAATCTTGGCGAAATGTCTGAAATGCCCCTCAGTCCAATTGTAATTTGGTCTACTGAAGTTGTCATCTGCTAAAGTAAACTTGTTATTTTCCATAGTCAACTTGTCATTTGGCATACCTTTAATCAAGTTATGATTTGATCTACTGAAGTTGTTATTCGTTAAAGTAAACTTGTCATTTCTTATAGTCAACTTGTCATTTGACTGAGGGGCATTTCAGACATTTTATCAAGATTTCATATTTACAATATGAGATTAGGTCCCTCATGATAATTTTGCTTATTCAGGTGACCTCTGTGTAATTTCAGTAATTTGGGAGTCTTTTTTTGTGATTTTCCCTATATATATTTAACGAGTACACGGGACAAAATATTCTAGAAATAAATAAGGTTGAGGGCAACAGAATGAACGAGCAAACACTGCTAATCAATCCAAGACCGACGTAGATCTTGTTTCCTAGTCTATTTTGTTACGTTGTCCTCAGTAGTTACCATGATTCCCCAGCCGCCTAACCATCATCAATAGTATTAGCGGGACAAATGAAATTATATTACACTTGGAGAAGGGAAAATTAGGAATAAATCCCTCATTGAAAATCTAATTGGCAAATGGGACTTAGGATGATTGATTGCACAAAGGAATATTAGTTGCACAAAGGGAAGATAGTTTGCGAAAAACATTATTCAGATATAAGGAATTAATTTGCACGTAAGGAAGATGACTTACACATAAGAGAATTTCATTTGCATAAAAGGAAATTGAGTTGCACATCGCATAAAGAAAGATTATTGCACACTAAGGAAGATATATTCCACGTAAAGGAAGATAAGTTGCACAAAAAGAAGTTAAGTTGTACAAAATCTTTAGGTTTCACTTGTCAATTAAATTTTCAATAGAGGATTTATCCCCAACTTTCCCCTTGGTAATCCTTTTTTCGTCAAGTCATAATTCCATACCGAAACGAGAGATTTACAGGGGGGACTAGAGCTACAATAATTGGCCAAGATACTCATGTACTCTGCCCTACTTGACTGGTTGTTTTTGCAAGTCTTTGTTTGTCAACGGGCCAGGGTGCACGTGAAAGTTGTGGCTCAGAAAATAGAATCAAAAGAGGACGTTTAATTTGGTGGAAAATTAGGCCAACAAAAAACAAAACCTCAGATGACTAAAACATTTGTAAAGCCCAAATATTTTAATTATTTGGTCATTTTGCCCTATTTTCCTAAACTTTAATCCTTTACCATAAAAGCATATATCTCCGCAATCAGTGGGCGTGCATCGCCAAATACCGAATTCTCTATAGGCTTCTGTCTTTTTCTTACTTTCCTGTTTCTGCAATTGTTTAATTTTTGGATAGTTGCCTTCAAATTTTGATAATTCTAATTTAATATTTTAATACTTCTCAGATTTTAATAATTCTAATTTAAAATAAATCTACGTGATTGAGCGAGGAAAAATCTTATTGGTCCCACTTAATTTAAATGTTGACCTTAGACGTTGACCAAATTATTTTTTTAAATTAAGAGAAGTATAAGATATACAAGGAATGAAAAGGCACATATATACAACATATGTTTTCTCTTGTTTTACTTATTTTGTTCCCTTCCTTTTAATCTCTTGTTCACTCTTGAAAAATGCGGTGAATTTGTGCATTTGTGGAATCCATGTCAGTGTCTTCACGAACTGAACCATCCAAAAAGAGACTCAGGAAAATAGTAGTGTTTAAATCTCAATTCAGTATTACATGCTATCTAGAAAAGCATCGTATGTTTAAATATTCCTAGAATCAATCGCGCTCTCTATCATGCAAGACAAAGATCCATGCCAGACTGGATCGCTCCAATTTTTTAAAGCTAATATACAAAAAATATTAGTTTTCTTTGGTCAAATGTTTTAATAATGATATTACTTCCTCAACCTGAAATTTGATGTGTATTGATTCTTTTTATAAGATCTCACTTATGATTATTTGAACATTTAATATGTTTTTATCATTTTTATCTTTAGTTAATTTTATATATAATTAAAATGTTTATTCTGTTTTTTTATACTCTCTCTTTCTTTCTTACCCCTTATAAATAAGAGCATGCTTGAAAAAAATTTATTTTTTTATGTATTTATTACTTTTAATTATTTTTTTTAAACCGTGTACTTTAATTATCAAATTCTTATAAAAAGATGAGGGAGAGTATTTTATAAGAAAAAAAATTAAATAATCCAAAATGGTACAATCATCATCGTGCAGTCCAAGGAGACAGCGCATGCACACATGCTTTCAAATTACACACTTCCACATTTCCCCCGTTCATATGTTTCTTGGATCTATTTCATACGTGATCAGTTTGTCGGACTCTCCATCGGGAATGACTCACAGTAACGTAGTGATTTTTTTTTTAATAGTATAATATTAGATCGCGACATTTGGCAGGAAAATTAAGGAGGAGTTAATTTGGTAATGTGAGCGGGGATAATGGAATAATTGTCGCGGGAGTGGAGGGTGTGATTAGTGATTGCACTGCCGTCATAGTTGACCCACTTTTAATTCATCCTATTTTTAAGAGCAACCGTCAACACCAACCTGTCATTTGTCATCATATCAATATTTAAAGAAAAATCCATTGGTCCAATGGTCCCCTTAATTATGTGTCTTTTTCTTCCTTTTTTTCAAAAAACTTTTGTTCCACATACACTACTCCTTTGTTAGTCAATTTTATTTTGTATGCTTGTAAAAATTGCTGACGGCTTGAGGCCTTTTTTTATTTAATAGCGATAGAAAACTAATTTAACATAATATTTCGGCTAACGAATTCAAAATACACATTTTGTATTTTTTTTATTTTTTTAGTCTTAGCACTTTTATTACTGATCGAGAAATTGGCGGAGGTCTTAGTTTTCAACACTTATATACGGAGCTAATCCCAACTTGTTGATGGCACTGTGGCAGTCTAGAAGCAATTATCCTTTTCATAAATTCGCCAAAAAAGGAAAAATGAACAAAACAATTGTATTTTAATTTTACAAAAAAATTAATTTTAATTTCTTTTTAGTTCTTTAAACCTGATATAATTACTTTTATTGATAAAGAATAACGATATTAAAACTTTAAATGCCGTCAAAATACTTTAAAATGTTGACATATCTAGTTTTTCCCCCCTTCAAAATAACAAAATTTGGCACAAAAACATTATTCAAAACTAGGTGTTAGAGGTGAAGAACCAAAAAAATATTTTATAACATCAAGACCAGCATTGTGTTTTACCAGAGTAAGAATAAAGATCAAGTGAGATATGGGTGGATGTGCGTGTTATAGTACTCATTTGATTTTAAATATAAGACTTATTTTGTAGTATAATATTTAAAATCAGAAGAGTGATATGTAGCCGTATTAGTAAATTTAAGTTGTGTAATGGACAAAATTAGGCATGAAGGACATAATTAAAATGCAAAGAAGATTAAGAAAGGAATAAAGAACCCGTCTTGGCAATCTACTTGCTCTTGTTTCCGGTGGGTGTGTGAAGACTGAAGACTAAAGCTCGCGGTCCACAAGCGAGGCTTCCACAATTTTAGGCGTTGTGTTGATGGTCTCTGGTTTTAACTACAACTGAATTGAATGACTGAAGATGGATGGGGGGTTTTGTCTCTTGCAACCAAAGCCTTCAAACTAATGCAATTGACTGTCCCGTCTACCTAACTAATTATTACTACTTTGCCTAATTCTCACTAACCTTGCCAGCACCTCCCTACTCCCTTGGCTATTTTTATGCATCCTTTGCATTACGTTCACTCCTTCCAGCTGTTCTGCAAATCAATCTCTTTAAAATCATCTACAAAACAGATTAAAATCATTACATGTACACCTAAATTCGTAAATAATTGATGAAATATATATACACACAAAAATTAATAGTCAAAATCCAAATAACATAATAGACCTCCAATGCTATAATATATTTTAATTATAGCTTTATTAATATCGGTATACACAATTTTAAGCAGCAATTGTTTTGAGAGGGAGTGAATATTTGGAATATTTGTGTCCGTGGGGCTTGTCCTGGCATCTTCCTTGTAAAGGTTCGACTATTTAATATTGCAATTATTGGCGTTGACTATTGCAGAGTGTTTGGATGAGTGCGTAGACTTCTCTATAGTCTATATGTTCACCATTTCTTCGCGTGGTCCAGCTACGTCATTCCCACCAAATTAATGTCGGTGATTAACGCCTCAAATCCGCCGCT